AAATCGCAATCTCTACAGTATCAACCTATCATCTACTCCAGGTGTGTGCGCACGCTGTGGACGGAGTAAATAGCTAGAACCTGGTCATTTGGGGAGGCAACTTGGGAGTGAAAAGGGGTCTTTTGAAAAAATAATAATATTTCTGCAGTGCTTTGGTTGTTGTTGTTACTGTAAGCGCATGTTACTAGACATCTTTTGGAATTAAGAAATCATCAAATAAATAAAACTGGTTATGGAATTGGATTAAAATGGGACATCGCTTGATCCCATCAGCGAAAAGCCCAAATTGACTCGTTAGTAAAACAGCACAAGACCTCGACTCCTTCCCTGTATTCTCACTGTAAGTGAATGACGGCTGCCATCCCCTGACATCCCACCCGGGGCCATGTCGCCTGGGACCCCTCTGAAATGCACATGCTTGGGGCCACCCCGGCTCTACTCAGTCTGGAACTGGGGAGCCGGGCTTGCAACCTGTGTTCCAACCAGATCCGTGAGCAAACGCAGACCCCCCAGCATGGGTGCACGTAGGATGATGGCTCATGTCCGGCTGTGCTCACGGGGGCAGAGCCAGGAGGTCCGGCCAGTTGCCGTCGTCAGCAACAAATTAGGGAAAAATCACTCCCACCCGTCAAGGCAATAAAGACAAACAAGGAGACGCTTTTTAACTGGATCTTTAACATGGCACAGAAACCTCTGCCCTCCCATCCTTCCCGCCCCAAACAATTCGGCCCCAAAGTCCTGGTGAGCAGAGCCAGGCAACCCCGTGCAGGCCCGGGGCGGGTGCCCCAGCGGTCAGAGCCCAAGTTCAGGGAGCGGGCGCCAGAGCAGAGGATGGGCCCAGGGTGCGAAAGGCTGCTTCCTGCACTTGAGCAAACGGGTAAGCAGGCTGAGGATCACGGAAGCCAGGAAAAAGAGAAAACTTACGAATGAGAAGAGAAGATATATTATAACGATGCCTTTTTAGAAGAAGATGAAAGAGAACCTATCTACACTTCGAAGCGTTAACAGTGGTCATCTCTGAAAAGCAGAATGGGAGCGGACTGGGGATGAGGAGCTGAGAGATTTTCACCCTTAACGTTCATTGCTTATGTGCTTTCCCCCCAAACACGGTGTATTATACTTTTAAGTTAACGTACAAGAACGTCAGCAGGCCCAAGTAGAGAAACCACCCAGGACCCGGTCTGGGTCACGGTCCCGAAAATTCCCCACAATTCCCTGGCCTGTGCTGCCCATATAATTAACTACCCCCCAAGACGGTGTATTATACTTTTAAGTTAACGTACAAGAACATCAGCAGGCCCAAGTAGACGTACAAGAACATCAGCACGCCCCAATCTTAACAATCTAACTACCCTACAATCTAAGTCTGGAAAAGCAGCTCCACCAGGGGCCACCAGCTCCTGAGGTCCGGGCGGGGTGGCCGTGAACGCAGGAGTGTGGCTCCCTGTCCCAGCCTCCCACTGGTGATCAGGGAACAACAGGAAGCCAGAGGCAGGGCTGCAGACCACAGCAGGACACCGTTCGATTTCTGCTGGACGTGGTGGAGACGGGTGCCCGTTGTAGGGGAGGCCTGGGTATCACACCTGTTCAGGTAGATCCAGGGGAAACTCTAGCAACACCCCGAGATGAGGGTGGGGGGTTGGGGGCAGAGGGGAAGGCAGGCTGCAAGGACGCCCTGAGAGCCGCCCGCGCCGTTTCCCCAGATGCACGGGGCCGAGCAGGAGGCTCTGGTGCTTCCACGCCAGCCCACGCTGCGGGGCGGGGACACCAGGCAAGGGCAGGGGGCTCGGCTTTGGGTAACTCAGGCTGCTGTCCCATCAAACTATGCGGCGTAGGGGTGGGAGTAGCTGCCGCGGCTGCACTTCGCCCCGAATTTCTCCCTCTGCACCCCAGGCCCGGGACCCTGAGCCCAGAGAGAACACCCTGAGAGGACCATGTCATCCTTGATTTAAGATACACCAGTCAGGGCGAGCACAGTCCCTGCGTGAGAATGAGTGTTTGTGCACGCTCCGATTCATACGCTGAGGCCCCGGCCCCCGGCGTGGCGCGTTTGGAAGTACGGCCTTCGGGAAGTGCTCGAGGTTAGATGAGGCCGGAAGGGCAGGCCCCGATCCAGGAGGACCGGCGTCCTTGTAAGAGGAGACACCAGAGATCCGAGTCTCACTCTGCCCGCCATGTGCAGACTCAGAGAGAAGACAGCCACCTACCAGCCAGGAAGCATGTTCTCGCCAGGAACCGAGTCACCTGCCACCCTGACCTTGGACTTGCAGCCTCCACAACTGTGTCTGTTGTTTAAGCCATCCTGCTCAGGGCACTTTGGGTCTAGCAGCCAGAATGCGCCGGGACACAAGGTATGCTTGGGAAGAACAGAGCACATGTGACCCAGAGAATGGCATAGAAAGACACACACATTAATGAAGTAATAGAAAAAAATTTCCCCAGATCTTGGAGTAAAGGGGCAGGAAAGAAAAAAAAAAAAATGATGAAAGTTGTGGAGTGAGGTGAAGTTGATCTAATCTACACCTATGAGGAACCCCAGGGGAGAGAACGGGCAAGGCCATGTTCAGTGAGATACAGGAAAACGCTCCTAACGTGAAAACAGCTCTAACCTGAGTCTAGTAAACACAGGGAAGGACCAAGGGGCCTTGGGGTTTGTTGGTTGGTTGGTTGTTTCTCAATGTCAAGGAGGGAGGCAGGAGATTCCCAGGCCTAAGGAATATCTGAGTCTCAACCAAGGCACAAAAAGCACAGGACACAGACCTCTGCAACACTAAATGGGGAAAAAAAAAAAAAAGGCAAAGACAAGTTGTAACTCCTGAGCGAATGGAAAATAAAAACCTTTTCAAGGAAGCGAAGACTTCAGAAAGGAGAGCCGTGGGTATTAAACCCTAGCACGCAAAGAGCCCTGGCAAATCAGTAAGGAAGAAAATGCCCTCACTGCCCAGCCTCCTGCAGTCAGCTCTAGGCCACGGCCACGGCCACGGCTGTTCTCGGGAGCTCCTGGTGATCCCTCTGTGGTCTGGCAGGGGCCAGAGTTTGGAGCTCCACATGTCCCCCCTCACCCCACCCCAACCGAGACCTCTCACTCAGCCGTCTCAGCATTTCAAAGGCCTCAGCACAAACTGGAGCCTTTTACACTTGGTGTCATCCGCCACCCAGACGACGGAGAGCCACGTCGGACCCCGACTGTCCCCCATGGCCCACGTCACCATCTCGAGACCCGAGCTTTCTCCTTCCCTGCCTCTGGGCCCGCCAGGATCGTCAGACCCCACAGCACACACCAGCCTGGTGCCACGCGAATGCATTCTCTCACCCCACACCTAGACCAGGTGTCCGCCTCCCCGCGGAGCCACCTGTCAGGTGTCCTGGACACACGCAGGCCGTCCTACAGCCATGCTAACCTATGCCGTGCCCGAGACGCACAGGCCGCCCTCCCGGCCCTGTGGCTTTGCGATGCATCGGCTGGACCCGCCTTCACCACCCAGCTCAGGGCCCCCTCTCCACGACCCCCGCCTTACACCACCAGGCTAGATGCAGCGCCCTGGGCACCCTCCAGCAGAGCTGCATCGGATGGCTGTTTAGCGGAAGAATTATCCAGAGGCAGAAGGACCTTCCGCTTCTACACCCCCGGTCCCTGAGCCCATTCCTGGCCGGGGGAGGTGGTGGGTGCTGGGCGCGTGGTCAGTGGCTACCTCCTGACATCCTTTTACACTTTTACAGCTCAGGAAGTTGCACACCTGGGCTTTCAAAGCCTCGTTAGCCTCCGTGGCGTTCAAGCTTCATGCCCCGAAACCTGATGGAGTGAGCATGCGTTCGCACAACCCAAATGCTCTCTAAGTCGGGGGAATTTTCCACCTTATGCGTCTTGATGGAGAAGCGGTGTGCACAGACTGCTTCTCGTTAAGGGGAATGAACTTGCCAGACGCTGCCTTTTCCAGCCTCCCTGGGCCCCCTGACTCAGAGTCACCCACGCTGGCTTGGCATAAGAGCTTGCAATGCAAGATGAGACGAGCAGGTCTTTCTCTGGGACAGCGGCAGATGCTGGCTTTCAAGAATCAACATGTAGTGTAGTTTGGAGCATCTTCTCCAGCTTCCTCCCTGCCCAGACTCAGCAGGATCCTCAACAACTCCCGACAACACAAGGTGCCACCTCCCTTTAATAAACAAACGCCTGTTCTCAACTCAGCCAGAAGCAGCTTCTTGGCAACCGAGACCCTGAGTAATGCAATGGATGTCACCTTGGAGGCCAGGAATTTTGAAAGTGGTCAGTTATAAAACCAATGATACCACGGTTACAAATCCAGCGCGGTCCTGAAGAGACAAGCAGGACCGTCATGTTTGTCAAGAAAAATGTCTGCACGCGACTCTGGAAGAGGAGAACCACGGCGTACTCAGCAATGCCGGCTAAGTACCGACCGCCTCTTGAGATGACCGCCGGGACAGAAGGACACACATTCCCCGGGCTCTCTCACTCACAGTGCCACCTTGTTAGACTGACAAGTGCCAACAAGGAGCTCCTGGCTCTCCTTTGCATCCACCTTCAGGCAGAGGGCAAGGCAACCCGTGAACGCATCCGCTTTAATGTATCATCTATCGCTAAGACACGATCACGTCTCTGCAGGAGTGAGTTCGCCGGCACCTTTCTGCTTCCCTGTCTCTGAGGCTCGAGGGGAAGTGATGACGAGGTGTGGAGTGGAGCAGTTTCAGAGCTGGATCTGCCCGGTGCTGAGCTCTGCGCGACCGGGTCAGCACCGCCCTGTCCCAAACGCACAGAGAATGTGCACGCGCACCCGTCAGCCTTTTTCTTGTGCCTCTTTGCAGCAGAGCAAGGTTTCGGATCAACTCCTTACATTAATGTCAGGAGCTGAGGTCGTGTGCGTCCGCCTCCCCACACTCACGCACGCACACGCACACACACGCGCACACACATACGCATGCACACCGCCTGGCCAGCTGCTCTCCAGCCTCAGCTCTGGAGCGGAAGGAAAGCTGAGTCTTACCTGCCTGTGCCGCCGTGATGAGGGCCGTGTTCCCCTCGCTGTCCTGCCAGTTGACATCAACGTGGGGGCACTCTGCTAAGACCACCACAGTATCCACAAAGCCGTGGTAGCAGGCGACAATCAGGGCGGTCTGGAAACAAAGAGGGATGCGGGTCAGAGGGCAGAGCCTGAGCCCCACACCGCAGAGCCGGGGGCACCCACCGCCCCCGGGGTGCGAACCGAGGACCCCAGTCCCAGGTGTCAGTGGCAGTTTACAGCAAGCCAGCTGTCCGTCCTCCATTCTGAAATGTTCACTGAGCACTGACTACGAGTGAGGCTGGGGCGGGCTCAGCAAGATGGGAAGGGGCTGTGGGAAGAAGCCAAGGGGACGTGTGGGGGAACGGGCAGGCAGAGGACATGCCTGGCCTGCCCAGGGAGCAGCCAGGAGGCCTGGGAGCAGAGCGAGGAGGAGGAGGGGGAGGAGGAGGACAAGTCAAGGAAGCACCAGATCTCGGAGGCCAGGAAGTGGACGTGAGGTTTGCACCGAGTGAGATGGGGTGTGGGGCAGCAGTCATCTGGCCATTGTCTGCATGCCTCTGGCCGCTGGGTGGAAAACAGACCCCAGGAGACCAGGGTGGAAAGAGACAGACCATTTGGGGGGCGGGGGGGGGTGCTCATTATAATAAAAAAGTATTTGGTGTTTGTCCTCAGCTCTTGGCACAGAGCTCCTTAAACCCTTGGAATGCTCTGTGTCACATGCTGATGGGATGACTCAGGGGTGGAGGTCGGCTTCAGGATGCGGGCTGGTCTCTAGAACTTACCATTTGCTTAGAGGGTTAGATTTTTCACTCCTACCCCCACCTCCGGGGAGGAGAAGGGGCTAGAGATGGAGTTCGGTCACCAATGGCCAACGATTTACCAGCGAGGGCAAATCACGCCTCCCTCAGGAAAACACGAAACCACCCAAACGGCGGGCTCCGGGGAGATTCTGGGTCGGTGAACGTATCAAGGTGCCGGGAGGGTGTGCACCCCCTTCCCGCACCTCACGTGTGCATCTCTTCCGTTTGGCTGTCCCTGAGTTGTGTTCTTTGTAACAACCCAGTGACAGTAAGAAAAGGGCTTTCTGGAGTTCTGTGAGTCATTCCAGCAAAGTATCGAACCCACGGTGAGGCTGCGGAAACCCCCAAATACTCAGCTGGTGAGTCAGAAGGTGGCCCCGGGCCTGAGACTGGCATCTGATGGGGGGACGGTCTTCTGGAACCGGGCCCTGAACCTGCAGGGTCTACGCCGACTCTGGGCCGTTAGCGTCAGAACCGAATTGAATTGTTGGACCTTGCTGGCGTCAGAGAACCGGTCTTGGGACAAGGACACGGATTTGCTGTCAGAGAAAACCCACACATCTGGTGTCGGCTTAAAGACACCGCAGGATGCCGAGGGGGTGGTGACGACAGACATCTATGAACCAGGAAGCGGCCTTCGCCGGAACCAGCCGCACGGGCACCCGATCTCACCCTCCCGAACTGTCAGAAGTAAATTTCCGCTGCTGATAAGCTCTACCCATTTCACGGCATGTCGTTACAGCTGCCTGATCTCAGACCCCCCGTAACCAAGGAAAATAACTGAGGCTCGGGTTCACGTCCTCGTCCACGTGGATCCCGTGAGATGCTAAAACCCACCCCAAGTAAGACTCCGAGGTCACGTGCCTCGGCGCGGACAGCCACGCCCACGCTTCGCCTAGGTTTAGAGCAGCTCCGCGGTGGCCCGATCTGTTTTTACCAGGACGGCATGGACAGCCCATCTGCTGATCTCACTGAGGCTCCTAGTTGCCTCCGCCAAAGAATCTTGAATCACAAACATGAGAGTTTCTAAAGCTTTAGACAATACTGTGGATCTTTTTTTTAACACTGACAGCCACACTGTGGCACAACGAACTCTATAATCTTGTGGCCAGAGTCAAGGCAATTTAATATGCCCCAGTTTATGCACTCTTTGAAATAGGTCATTCCACCTATAGAGTGAAACGTTTCACAATAATTTAATTTTAAAGAGAAAAGAGCATGGAGTGAGCCCAGGCTGACTATTTCTAAGCTGCTGAGGCTTCCAGCCTCTCCGATAACTAGAGCTCACTCCACCAGCATCTCGGCCTCCCAGCTAACCTGTTACCCAAATGAAATGGTCTGGAAAACTTGGGATTCCACGTGGGGAACACCGACAACTCATTTTGAACTTCCTTGGATGAAAGTACTTCTCCAGTATTCTAGAATTTCCTGACATAAATAAGGCATGTTGAACACAACGAAACTGCTTCCTCTTTGCATAATTACACAAGCAGCTCACATTTATTACAGAAAACCAGGTGGAGTGTCGTAATCTACGTAGAAGACACCAAGATTGTTCCCCATTTTTCTCTATTATGAGAACGACCTGCAAAAAAAAAAAATCTCTAGAGCTAAGGCTTTATGCATATCATTCCTTATTTTCTCAGGAGACATTCTTAGAAATAATATTTCTGGATTAAAAGAGCTATTTCAACCCTCATACACTGCTGGTGGGACTGCAAATTGGTACGGCCACTATGGAAAACAGTATGGAGGTTCCTCAAAAAACTAAGAATTGATCTACCATATGATCCAGCAATCCCACTACTGCATATTTACTCCAAAGACTTGAAAATCGATATCCAAAAAGATATTTGCACAGCTGTGGTACATTCATACAATGGAATATTACTCACCTATAAGAAGAGACAAAATACTGCCATTTGCGACAACATAGATGGACCTCGAGATAACCATGCTAAGCGAAATAAGCCAGACAGAAAAAGTTGAAAATCACATAATATCACTTATATGTGGGATATAAACCTAAAAGCAACAAAGGAATGAGACAAACAAACAGAGACTCAGGGACATGGACTATAGACTAGTGGTTACCAGAAGGCAGGGGGTGGGGGAGGAGGGGAGAGGTAGACGGGGTAAAGAGGGTCAAATATAGAGAGGTAGAGGAGGGTGAAGTGGGTAAAGGGGATCAAATATATGGTAGGAAACTGGACTTTGGGTGGTAAGCACAATAGAATATACAGATGTCAAATTATAATGTACACCTGAAAATTATATAATTGTATTAACCAATCTTACCCCAATAATCTTAATTTTTAAAAAAAGCACAAAATAAAAAAGAGAAGTATTTCGAAAGCTTTCACTACATATTGCAAACCCGCCCTTCAAAAACATCTCAAAGGGTGACCAACCTTTACTTTAGGACTGCGGGTTAAAAGGAGGAACGTCCGTCAGCAGACGGTAGGGAGACGCTCTCCAGGCCTCCCGAAGGACCACGCTCTTGACTAGGCTCTTTTGGGGTCCCCTCAGCTCTACTCCCCGCCACCCCGCATCACTGAGGGGTCTCTTCTGGAGCCACCTAAGGCAGGGCTGGCCAGGATGTGCGGCAGGCCCGTGCTGGTAGCAGCCTTGGGAATCTCGGCGCAACCGTAAATCGGAAAAGGAGATTATCAGAAAGAAAAAAAAAAAGATGCTAAATCTGAGGGCTCAGGATGAAATGGTACTGAACCCACAAGAGGAAACTCTAGTCCCCCCACACACAGCCATGTTACTGCTAAACATTATTACCGTTACCCTGCCTCCTGGAGTCTGTTCCGCAAGTCTGGCATTTCCATGGTTAAAACTAGTGTTTAGCTACAGGTTTAACTCTGTTTGAACTGGAACATCTCGGTGCCCCCAACGGGAAGGTGGAAGGGGAGGGACAATCTTTGGCAAGCCCTGACCACAGTCTCCCCACAAAAAATACTGTACCAAAAGACTTGTCATAAAGGCAAATATTGCATACTTGGCTCCCTTGTCGGCTCCCTTGCAGAAGCCACAAATCGTTTGTTTTTAAATTACAAGCAAAACTTGCATGAAAATAAAATAATATTATTAAGAGAAAATAAATAAGCTACCTACAAATGGAAGGAAGCCCGTATTTGGCAGTCAGATAGAAATTCTAGGCCCTCCAAACACAAACCTCATTTTCAAAGTCCACATATCACAGAAAAGTCAAGGCAACAGCAAAAAAAAATAAGTTGAAATGTTTCTGCTTAAAACTTGTAAGGGTCTGTACATCAAAACACAGAAATAAACAAATCAAAACCCCATTCCTTGCAGGAAGAATGATATAACACCAAGAATCTAATCATGTCATTTATTCTATTAACAGATTAAAGGGGCAGGAGGAGGAAGAAATGTGTTACAGCTCTCAACGCCCCCCCCTACACACACACACAGAAAATGCATAGATAATATATAGAAGAATTACACCAAATTACTAAGAGTAATAACGTCTATAGAAAGAATGAAAACAGGGTGTGTGTGGTGATTGATTTTATTTGTCTTAATGTTTCGTGTACCCAGATATTTGGTCAAACATTATTCTAAATATGTCTATAAAAGTATTTTTCATATGAGATTAACATTTAAAGCAGTAGTCGAGTAAAACGGATTGTCCTCCCTAATGTGGGTGAGCCTCATCTAATCAGTTGAAGGCCTGAACAGAATAAAGACTGGCCTCTCCCAAGCAAAAAGTGATTCTGCCTTTGGACTTGAACTATGACTATTCCCTCGATCTCCAGCCTGCCAGCCCACCCTGCAGATTTTGGACTTGCCAAGCCTCCACTATTTTGTAAACCAATTCCTTAAAACAAATCTGTGCCTGTGTGTATCTATAGATATATAGAGACATATAAATACACACATACGCTCTTGGTTCTATTTCTCTGGAGACCCCTGATTAATACAGGGTGGGAGTGGAAGGAACACTCTGGAAGAACTATTTTCACTTTTTACTCTATATGTTTCCATACAGTTAGAATTTCTTTAAAACAAAGCTTTATTTATAAGGAACTTACATGATTTTAATCCACCAGGGAAAACAAGTAAGCAAACATGATGTTTACATGAATAACGCTCTCATTAGGAAATACAGTTTTATAACAATCACTGTAAACAACTGAGAAAAGAACCATCTGAGAAGAGGGAGGAGGGGCAGCGGGCAGAAGAAACAGGAGCTGACAAACAGCCCAGGGAAGAGACCGAGGCAGTGAGAAGCACACGGAAACCCGCGGCCAGATGGTACAGTACAAAAGTAATTCACCTTGCTCAGAAGGAAAAGGACATCGCCCATGTTCAAACGAGAGGAAAAGTCCATCATCGGTAATATAATTTTTTAAAGTTCGCAACCAAGAGAGTAAACTTCAGTTACTTGAAAATTCATTTCCATAAAACAACGGTCTCCATAATAGTACCACTGACAGGAAAGGGAACACGCATATGTGGCTTTATGAAAGAATTTAGGAATTCTAGTCCTCCGATGATACATTTGTAAGAGGCAGTCGTGCATCGCCACCAGCACGGGCTTATTTTGTTGGGCAAAGGGTGTTAAGCATAGTGTCGACAATCTCATTTATGACTAAGCACCATTATTTGAAAGTAAGTTTCAGGACTGGAATTTGATCTACGTCGATCACTCAAA